GAGAGAGCATGTGAACAGGGGAGGAACAGAGAGAGGAGACACAGAATCCGAAGCAGGCTCCAGGCTGTGAGCTGTCGGCACAGAGCCCGACGCGGGGCTCAAACTCACGGACCGCGAGATCATGACCTGAGCCAAAGTCAGACGCTTCACCAAATGAGCCTCCCAGGCGCCCTTGAGTTTTTTTGGGCTTGTTAAATTAGGCAGAGTCGATTGCTGGCTTTGCAGATGCGATCCTCTGCTCGGAATGAAGCATATGCTGGCCTAGCGAGTTCCACGTGTGGACGGGGGAGGAGCCAGGGTGTCACAGAAAGTTAAGGACAGAAGTGGCAGCTGGGAGCCCAGACGGGAAAGCGGGGGCCGCTCCCCACTTGCAGCAACCAGCACGTGAGGACGAAAACCCCCGTCTTCTCTCCCTCCACCAGAAGCTCTGCTGGAGGTTTGCAAAATCATACCGTCGCAGGGAAAAACCACAGCGTGACAAGGGACACATGTATAGTATGACCCAAAGCTTAAAAAATGAGTCTCTTTCTAGAAAAGAAAGAACAGGTCAGTGTGACGCCACAGCTGTCTCAGGCTGTGCGTTTGGCTGACGTTTTTCCTCTTTGCACTATGTTGCTGTTTCTAGATTTTCTGTGATGAGCTGAAGAGCGGAGAGAGAAAGGTATTTTATTTTTTAGCAAGACGCGCTGCGGCACGGGTGAGGCGACACTTGGAAACCATATCTTGCGCACGTCTGGTACTTCAGTGCCGCTGCTGCGGCAGAGGTCAAAGGGCATTTGAAGAGCACGAGGGGCCGGGTCGTTCTCCCTGTGGGGCGTCTGCGGTGTGCACAGCCAGAGCATGGCACGATGTCGCATGCTGCTGTTCTGTGCCTGGGGCTCAGCCTTCCTTGAGCGGAAGCCTGTGGAAGCCACAGAAACGCCTGGGATGAACGTCTCGGACTCATCAGCTAATTTCACCTTGGGGACTTCCTGGGGCACGCGGGCCAGGGGACTTAAAACAAAAGGCCTCGAATATAGACTCTGGCATTCTCCACAGCACACTGTGTGAAAAGCCAGAAAGAGACAGTGCCCACAGGTTCATATAAACACACACACACACACACACACACACACACACACACACACACCTGTCATTTGTCACGGACATTTCTGCGAGTGTGACTGTGTGTAACATTGGAAGCAAGGAAGTCATGAGGTCAGGAAGCGGTTGGTTCGAGACGGTGAGAATACGGGTGAGTATAGTTCCTTCTCAAATGTACAAAAGCCCGTGGAGAACATGGTCTGACCTAATAACCCGTTCGGACAAAAACGTTCTCTTTCCCACGAAAGATGTGAATGGCTTCATTACACAGACATGTTTGTTGCTTCTTCTCCCTTTCAGCCCCCCTTGGGTGGTGATGACCAGGGGTTAAAGATGAATGAAATACACCCAACTGGCAAAAGGGGGCCGACAACATCCAACCACGGGAGCAGGGGAGCCACGTGTCGGGGACTCACTTGTGCGGGGCGCTTTTCCAGCACGCAGGCAAGCCGGTGAGAAGCTTTACCCCGAAAATGACTTTACCCCGTCGCATCCCCTCGTTTCCAGAAGCCGCCCTTCAATTGCCACGTGGTCCTTCCTCTTCTTTACTGCAAACATTCCCTTCTTGCTAGATAATTTCTCCTTCTTCTTTCTCAGAAACGTTACTTTCTGCCAACCTCATTTCCATTTTCTCTTTAACTGTCTGTGGAAGAACAGCCTTCGACCCCTCCGGGGTCGTTCCTGCCCGTTCGATGGCCGGAGCGGTGGGAGCCGCAGGCCAGAGTCCGGTGGTGGGCGGAGCACTGCGGTCCTCACCAGGGAGCCACCGAACAGGCACCGAGGGCAGCTGTGCGCCTCCCGACCCGTCTGCAGCGAACTCTGGAGCCAGGGCAGCCCGTTCCCCCAGAAGTTCCTCCTCGGTCACGGCCCTTCCAGCAGCGACCTGCTCTTCCTTCTCGATCTCTTCAGAAGTCTCTGTAGGAGCCGAGATCAGGCATGGCCTCCGCGGGTGGTCACGGGAGACGGTGCCACGAACGTGCAGGCTTTCCGGGGCCTCACCGGGCCCACCACGTGAGCCCCCTTGTTGCTGGATGCGGTGGCGATGTCCACAGGGCTCAGGGGAGGGTCTGTCACACACACAGCAACGGCAGGCAGGTTAGCACCTCTCGAGGCTACTGATCCCAGGGCTGACCACCGTGAGAGGTGGGCGGGCGGTCAACCCTGGGATCAGTAGCCGCCAGAAGGCGTGGCTCCCCGAAGCTGCCCGGATCTGTCAGGGAAGGTTCCAGAAGGGAGGCGGCCAGCAACAGGACCAGACCCCGCAGTGGCAGCACACTTCAGCACAGCATCCCCGGGGGCTAGGACACCGACATCAGCCGGGGCTTCGGTGGCAACCACGTGATGAGCTGTCAACAGAGCCTCTTCTGCGTTTCTTCAGATTTCTGATGTACGTGCCGATGCCAATACCTTTCCTTCCGTGGATCACTGTTCTGTTTGGAAGTCAAGGTTGTGCCACCAAAGTGGGTTCCTGCTGTAAGAAATCTGGGGACACCCTCCTGCTTCACTGGCAAGACATCAAGGACTCCGGACATCGCAGAGGTTTTCCTTTTAAGTTACGAAGACGGGAAGCCAGGGCACCGCCTTACAGACCCCTCGCTGGGTAGTGTGGGAAGACCAGATAACTTAGTCTTGAAAAAGAACATTGACTAAGAACTCAGAGGAAACCCTGGGGAGATGCCTGGATGTTCTGCCAAGAGGTGGAGGGCAGGGCAGGGCGTCCCTGAATCCTGCACCCCCCCCCCCCTTACCAGCTGGGTGAGGTTCGGCAAGTTACTTAATCTCTCTGTGCCTCCTATTCCCCGACTGTCAAATGGGGATGATGAAAAGAGCATCTATTCCCCGTGGTAACTGTGATGGGGCAAGGTAAGGGCATTACCAAGGTTCGTTTCTGTTGTTCACTGAAAAAAAAGAAAGGGCGTTTGATGCTTGGTGCCTGGTGCACAGCAGGTGCTCAGAAGAGATTTCCTGAATGAAGAAATGGGAGAGCGTGGTTTTTATGGGGGGAAAACCTCCTTGGATGGCGGGTTCTGGAAGTGAGGTTCCAAATAGCTCAGCACGAAACCCGGTTCAGAGCAGCACTGCTCTCTGCCCCCAGCCAGCCAGCTACAGGGAAGCTTTATAAAAACGGAACTCTGGTCGCTCACCGCTGTGAAGGGGAGAGTGGTTCCCAGCTGTGACGTCATGGAAAGGACACAATTAACCTTGATCTGCGGTTTATTTACTCCATAAGTAGAGAAACCTTGGCTGGCACTGGAGGATTGCTCCCTGCCAGTCCTCCTTGCGAGGGATTTTCAGAACGGCTAATTAATACGAAGCAGGCGCTGGCCTATTACTCCTAGTGGTGCCGGGCTTTGAACCGACTCCCAGGGCCCAGTCACAGAAGCTTTGATTTGTTTTTTTGGAGTGAGACAGAAGACACAGACACTAAACGACGTTACTGGCCCCCTAAGCGAAGCGTCATTCGGTCTAATAATATTTCTGATGGGCCAAGAGGCACTAGGTTGTGATAATTTTGGATAAGTGCAGATTAACTATGGTTCCATTTTTATAAGGTTTTCTCAGGGGCAGGCTTGGAACATTCCAGCCACATTCCTCTGAAAGCTGTCTCGTTTTGGGTACCTTATTTCTGGAATCCATGTCCTAGGAGGGTTTGCCCCTAGAAACCAGACACATACCTCTTACTCAGTCAAGAAATATTCTGAGTATCGACTGATCAACTTTTATAGTAAATACTGTACGTGCGCTAATGAAGGGGTGCCAAACTCTTAGTGGCGGTGATTCCGGGAGGCTAGATCAGGTGGTGAGGTTTTTTATGATGTGCACGCCTTACTTTAGTAAGTAGGAAAAAAAAAACTGCAGCGAGATAAACATAAGCAGAGTCCTGGAGAATCTGAGGAAATCTCCGCCTCGGTGACTGGAGGTGATGGGCAAGAGTCTGCAGGGTGGGGGCTGGGCTGCAACCTGTGGGTTCTGGCGGAGGCAGGCACACACATCAGCCTGATAACCAGCCCGCCCCTCCTCTCCGCTTCCTGGTGAAAGGCAAGCTCGATCGCCAATCAAAAGGGGGCATTTTGGACTCCCCAAAGTCTTACCTTAAATCTTGCCCGTTGTCATCGGATGAGACGTCGTCAACGTGGATCTGGTCGCAATCCTGCGGAGAATGTGGCACGAAGAGAAAGACAGGGAGAGGTGTGGCTGGTTAATCTGCTGTAGCCTCTGAGAGCTGAGCGGGGGAGCACTGCCCTGGGAGTCACCAGCCCTGGATTCTAGCCTGAGCTCTGCCACTAAAGGTTAGGCGACCTCCGGTTAAGTCTCTTCCCTTCTTTTGCTTTTGGTTTCCTTATAAATGAGCAGGTTGGGTGTAAGGTGGGGCGGTGACCATATAACTTATCATGCAAACCAAGATAGTTCTGCAAGTCAAAGGCGCTGCCGTGAAGATTACATTGGAGAGACAGGCACAAAACAGGACCACCCCTCTCTACCTGTGAGTATGTTAGGACATATGGTCACCCTGGTCCCATAGTGGAAGCCTTTGCCTTAACCGAGGTATCTTCTTCCACTCGGAATGCTCCCTGCCTTCATCCGCAGAGTGAACTTAGTATTCTTCAAGCATTAGCTTCTGGAGGTACCCCCTTCCCCAGTCCTCCTCGGGGTCCGATGATATGTGATCATCATTTATTGAGTACTTACTACGTGCCAGGCACCATTCCGAGGGCTTGTCATTCCGCCACCCACACATCCCCCCTTTCTCTTTGGGGAAAACACCTTAACACCTGCGAGTTAAGACCGAGGGGGAGGGGGGGCGAGGAAAATGGCCTCGTGACCCAGGCTCAACCAATCAGAGAGACCCAGGAGCCCTCCGGCTTCAGCGATTGCGTCAAAGATGAGCACGTGATCTAAACTGGACCAATGGGAGAGCCAGCCCTGGGAACACCTCTGGGACCTTGGCTGCAGCTGTCGGAGGGTGGTGGTCACGTTATCTGAGCCCCTGGACCCGGCCCCAGCTGAAACCAGGCCACCCTGACTGTGGTAGGTAGACTAATGCTCAACCCCCCTGCCCAATGTCCATTCCTAATCCCATGGTCGTCATGTGGCAAGAGGGCCTCCGCAGATGTGATTAAGTTTAAGGTCTGGAGATGCGGAGAGCAGTCGGGATTCTCCAGGTGGGCCCTAAATGTAATTACAAGGGCCTTTGGGAGTAAGAGGCAGAGGGATATGGGAAGACGGGAGAAGGGGATTGGGGCGATTGCTTTAAAGACGGAGGAAGAGGCGACGGGCCAAGAAATACAGGGTGCCCCCCAGACGCCCAGATTCTCCCTTCAGAGCCTCCTTGACGTCTTTCGCCCAGTGACACTGATTCTGGACCCCTGACCTCCAGAACAGTGAGAGAACACGCTGGTGTTGTTTTAAGCCACTGCGTGTGTGGTAACTGGTTACAGCCGCTGCAGGAAACGACTCCATGGGCCCTTGGGCTCCAGCTAGTGGAGTGGCCGTTCTGTCACTCGGCCACCGGGCAACACCACACCCTGCACGAAGCTACGCGCCGTGCACGCCCATCGGTCACCTCTGCCTCCGGCATAAAGTCCATCCAGGCGACAGGCTGATGCGGCACCAGTGGTGAGCGTGTTCTGCCCGCCGCTGCGGTCCTGGTGAAGCCCAGGCTCCGGAGTCAGACTGCCTGGGTCTGGATCCTAGATCCAGCCACTTCCCGGCTGTGTGACTTTGAGCCAGTGGCATAACCACCCTGAGCCTTAGAGGTGGGATGGGGAAATGGGAGATAAGGGAACCTCCTTCGAGGGGTTGGTGCATGTGAGGAGAAGCGAGAGGCTGTGCTGGCAGCGTCTGGTACAGTGGCTGGAACACGTCAGGTACGGGGACGCACGCCACTCTTCTTATCGTGTTAAGATTTAAAAATGTCCACATTTAGGTGTCAGGGTGATCTCAGGAGGCAGGTGGCTCCTGGATGCGACTCTGAGCTTGACCTCTAAGAAAACGATTGGTGGTAACACCTCTGGACTCTTGTTGAGGGGGTAGCATCTGGGAAAGAAATAGCGGTTTCTATTATTTTGAGCAGATCTCTTTTTACACAAGGACGGGGCTTGAATTTATCTTTGAGAACAGAGCTCTGCTGGGGGATGATGGGAACCCCTTCCCTCATTAATTCTTTAAGATATGTAGAGGTAACCGTGTTGTGATGGGAGATGTGGGGGCAGGGTGGGGGTGGGGACAGTGGCATTTGGGGCAGCCCGGGCTACCCTGTGGGGATCGGGGCTGGAACTTGGGACAACCAGTGTGGCCACTGGTCCCTCTCTGGTGCCCGGAAAGGGCTTTGGATTGAAAAGGGGTTTGCTGGGAGGTGAGGTTTGCTTCCACAGTCCCGGGCACACTCGGGCTCACGGCTCAGTGGCAGTGACAGAGCATGACTCAGAGTCCTGACGCATAGGACCTCACGCCTCCGTGGGCCCGGGACAACGCCTGGGAACAGGCAGCAGTGTGTGCTCTGACTCGCCTGGATGGGAAGGGCAGGGGGAGGTCCCACCGTATGGCTTCCTAGGGGTCAGCCGTGGGCAAGCGGAAATCGGTGAGGAACATGGCAAATGACAAGTGGTAACCCCAACTGAGAAGCTCTTTGGAGAGTGCTGGAAAAAAACTGGGGACGCTGAGTGACCACTCTTGAGCTGGCAGACATCTGGCTTACACCTAAACCTCTACTATTCCTCATTCCGTAGTTCCTTCCTTTCCACGTATCTGGGATTCTGACTGACGCTTGGTGGTCTTAGGTATCATCGATCCCCCTCCCCAAGAGGGACTGTCCTTTCCTAAAGTAGTTGAGCGCCATGGTACACCCCAACTTGAAAGATTTTATAGTCATGCTAATACTGTAGTGGTTGGCCATATGTGGTTATTTATATTATTTTCAAATTAAACTCAACTGCATAAAAAATTTTTTTTTATGCCCCCTGAGTTCCTCAGGCCTATTTCAAGTGCTCAGTAACCACATGTAGGCAATGGCTGCCGTACTGGACGGTGCACGTATTTGCCTCGGCACAGAAAATTCTAGTGGACAATGCTGCTCTCGAGGGGTAAACACACCAGGCTGACAACTTCTCTTCTGTGTTGACAAGTTCGATTAGGGATGAGCTCGCAAGCCAGCCTGGAGACGTATCTTATTCAGCCCACACTACGCTTGAAAAATTGTTTGGGAACAATAGCCAATATGTGAACTCAGGGGACCTCTCTTTCCCTGTCTCCGTCCTCTCCCTTCCTGCTCTCACTCTTTCTCTGTCTTTCCAGATTTTCAGCTACTCTGAGACTTTACGCACTCTGGCAGTGCAGGGCTTGCATTGTTCTGTCCCATCCGCCCTTAGCCCTTTCCAGCGCTCCACAGTCTCGTCTGGGTTTTCTTCCCTTCACGTCACCTGGTTACCTGGCCCCTGTGGGCTTCCTACCTAGTTTGAGACCTCTGATCCACAGACCTCGTATACCAATCGAAGGGTCCTGGGACAGCAATCCTGATACGTCAGTGAAAACTGTCTTTAAAAAGCCAACGCGGACTTCGAAGACCCAGGCACAGAGAAGACCAAATTAGTAGCAGACTTCTCCCCCATCCAATGCTTTGCCTAAAATTGGAAAAACACCTCCCGTGCCCCCCTCCAGTCCTTGTCGGAGGCTCGAAAGCTGCTCCGGGGGTCACACGGGCTCAGGCCCCTGGGCAGGGGCACCCACCACTTTCCCTGATGTCAGGGGAAAGGTATGTGGGAGGCTCTGGTTTTCTCATTTGCAAGGGGATTGTTGGGGGCGCTAAAGTGTGACAACAGTAGCGATCACATTTCGGACTTAATAAAATACCATGACGCTCAGCTAGACGCTACCTCATACTCCACCAGCTGACCTGGATCCAGTTACCCGCTGAGGCTGAGCCGGCAATGAGGGGAGTGAGCTCTGGGGGAGGAAGATCCTATGCGCCTCAATTCTCCTGCATGGGGGGCGGGCCTGTACGGTGGAGGGCACCAGCTTTTCACAGCCTAGGGTGCTTCTGGCCTCTTCAGGGTCACGTGTGACTATCCTGGGGGGTCTGAGTGGGACCTGCTAGCAAAGACCGAGGAAGCGTTCCCATGGCCTTGACCTGGGTGAGGTCTGGGCCCCAGTGCAATCCCAGCAGCAAGGAATTTACACTTTCTGACTTACGGAAACACCCACACATCGTCTTGTGCAAAGATGTCCACCATCCCGGTGAGAAACAGGAAAACACCTAAAGCTGCCTCAACTGGATCATCACTAAACGCAACGTGGTATGTCCATTCAGCGGAATCCCGCCCAACGGTTCAGACGAATGAGGTGGATTTTTCTGTTAGCACACGGAAATATTTCTAAGACGTTCTATTGGGTGAAAGACCCACGAACAACACGGGGGTTGGGGCACTGATCCCTGTGTAGTCAAAGATCTGTGTATCACTTTGGACTCCCTCCTGAAACTTAACCACTAATAGCTGTTGTTGACTGGAAGCCTTACTGATAATATGAACAGTCAATTATCACATAGTTTATATGTGATACGTATTACATACTATATTCTTACAATAAAGTGAGCTAGAAAAAACAGTTATTAAGAAAATCACAAGGAGGGGTGTCTGAGTGGCTCCATTGGTTAAGTGTCTGACTTCAGCTCAGGTCATGATCTCACGGTTCGTGAGTTTGAGCCCTGTGTTGGGCTCTGTGCTGACAGCTCAGAGCCTGGAGTCTGCCTTGGATTCTGTGTCTCTCTTTCTGCCCCTCCCCTGCTCGCATTCTCTCTTTCTCTCTCTCTCTCAAAAATAAATAAGCATTACAAAAAATTAAGAGTAAAAAAAAAAAATCACAAGGAAAATGCATTTACAGTACTGTACTAAATTTATTTAAAAGTCTGGGGGCGCCTGGGTGGCTCAGTCGGTTGAGCGGCCGACTTCAGCTCAGGTCATGGTCTCACGGTCCGTGAGTTCGAGCCCCACGTCCGGCTCTGTGCTGACAGCTCAGAGCCTGGAGCCTGTTTCCGATTCTGTGTCTCCCTCTCTCTGACCCTCCCCCATTCATGTTCTGTCTCTCTCTGTCTCAAAAATAAATAAACGTTAAAAAAAAAAAAAGCTTAAAAAAAAAAGTCTGCATATGTGTGGA